AACAGTTACCAGCCAGTCGCAGAGAGACCAAAGTTCAAGCGAAAATTCTTCTGTGGTTGGACAGCCCAAAACAAAAAGATTTCGAAGAATTTTTCCCAAGCACGAATTGTGTGAAGTTAAAAGGGACTTTTTTCAAACATTACTGTGAAAGTAGGCCTTTTCGTTTTTTCTCAAAGGTTGTTGAACGTTTGTTTTTTTACATAACCTTATATTGTTTTCACTTTTGTTATTTACAAAATCCTTCTCTTGCTGCAATTTTCCACTTTTCGTTAGTAATCCTTGAAATTGTTTTTCTGCCTTAATAGACACTAAAAAGGAAATTTTTGTGTAAACTTGTACCTTTTTTTGTAGTTGTGTTAAATGTGTTTTTCTTTTTAAAGTTTTACACAGTGGTTGCCTTGTTTTATAATTTGCGCCTATTATTGTGTCTTGCTATTTCTACTAAGATTTTGTATTTGTCACGAGAATTTGGATTTGGTAGGAATAAAAATTTTATAATGTTTCTTGCAAGAAAGCCATCTTACTGTAGGTGAATTTGAAGGCATTCTGCCGAGGGCATTTCGCCTCTTCTCGGTATATTTTACTAGTCACTTTTTGCTAATAAACCTTTCTTTGATTGTGACTTGTTCAATTATTTTCTTAGAAAGGAGACAGTATGTTGGATGTTATCATAAGCGATAAAACGTTTTTGTTCGATTTTACGCGCCACTTCTTCGGGCGAAAATTGTGATATCGTCAAGATGGTTAGCTTGAGCGGGAGATTGGAACGACGTTCTTGGTCCCAATATAGACCATGGATGCTATAGGAAAAGTAATAATCTTCCTTCGGATGCAAAAAATTGTGATTTTTTTGCCAAACCTGAATAACAAATTTCGAAATGAGCATCGCTTGTTTGTAGAATGGACTCGAACAGATAGCACTGGTTCAAATTTGGTGCAGCGTCCGACATTAGGTTTTCATATTCAGCTCATAAGCTTCTCTGGGCGCTAATAAACTTTGATAACTGGAAGCCTAGGATAGCTAGAAGCTGGAAATACAATGCATGTTTGATGGGTGAGAACAATTTTCACGAACAACAGATACTAGATGTAAAGCGGGAACATACGATGAATTTGATTGGGAAGAATTGGTGGGAAGGTCTTAAAAATCGAATTAGGTCTTTTGCTGCCAATTATAATCGCCGACTCACATAATACGAAATGAAGATCAGTGTCAGTAAGACCAAGGTCATGACCGTCAGCAAGAGACCAGAAAAAATGGACATTAACATTAATGGGACCCAGTTAAAGCAAACCAGTGAATTCAAATATCTGGACAGCATATTTACTGAAAACGGCAAACTGGACAGAGAAATCGAGACCAGATTTCAGAAAGCCAAGGCAGTCAGTTATCAACTTGCTCCTCTTCTAAAACATCCTAGCATTTCCATGAGCACCAAGACAAATCACATCAACGCCATTTTCCTACCAACGCTGACATACCAGTGCCAGACATGGCCCCTAACAAAAACCCTTGAGAGGAAACTGATCACTTGTGAGATGAAATGCCTGAGGAAAGCAGTGAACAAGACCAGGCGAGACAAGACCAGGAATGAAGCAATAAGAGATATAGTAGGAGCAATACCAATCATACAACACAACAGAGGACACCTCACTCGTATGCCTATCAACTAACCAGCCCTACGAGTATACACCCTCAGGTACTCTGGCTGGATAGCGAGAGGCAGACCAAGAAGACGCTGGAGCGACTCAGTAGTAGACACTCTCAGAGCCCACGAGATATCTCTCCTCCAGGCTACTCGCCTTGACGTTGACAGACGATTGTGTTTCCCCGCGACGCCTAACAGCACAAGTGAAAGGAAAACCAAACTAAACTCACATAAGGTCTTATTATTCATTCCGTTGTTTTACATTGTGTGTGTGTGTTTTCGAATGAAACTCAATATGTATAGTATGTTTTATTGTGGTGGGTAATTATTTTAAACTGTTGAAAACCACGTGATGACAAGCCAACTTTTGTCCATCCTCCGCAACACATAATTATTTCATATATAATTATGTCTTTTGTTTCACTTTTCTTTTTAATCATTCAATACTTGTTTCAATTGTTATTAAAAAATTTTTGAATAATTATTTTCGAAATTTTTGATATTCATTTTTCTAAAAGGGCAACTAATTATTATAAACAGAATTATAAACGGACCCGAGGCCTGATTACGTTGATAAATTGTGACCAAAACCGAACGTAGACAGACACCCGACCAAATACTCTCGGGTCACCAGGTGTGATCCATGCGGGTAGACGTACATGATCGTTTTCTCGTTCCATATGACCGGCAGGCCAAATATGAATCTTTTCTATGTGTTTTGTCCTTTCAGGAACGTAGGGGATCATGGCTCTCCACACATCCCTCTATCTCTTGCAGCTCTCAACAAGTTCCTTCCCTCTGCCACCACCTCCAGACCACATTCTGTTATCCACTTGCTTAAGGCCGCTAGGTATGTCATACTTTTTCTTCCCTTGTCTCTCTTTCCCTCTATTCGATCCATGAGTATCAGATTCTCCAGACCCTCATTATGTGTCCCAGGAACTTCAGTTACTTTTTCCTGATGTTAAGTATAAGCCTCCTTCTTGTTTGCAACCTCTCTAAGACCTCATCGTTGCTCACACGCTCGGTTTATTATATCCTTAGTATCCTTCTGTAGAACCACATCTCTATCGCCTTGAGTCTCTTCTTCATCTTTGAGGAGACCGTCCAACGTTCTCTGCCGTAAAGGAGGATAGTTGTCACGTAACAGCTCAGTATTCTTTTCTTCGTTACCAAAGAAATCCTCCTGTCTCGCCATACTCTGTACAGCTTTTGGAATGCGTCCTTGGCCATCCCAATATGTTATAGGATACAAATCCTATATCATTCCAACAAACGACTAAAAAACACAAAGTAGATTTCCCCATCGCAAAATCGGATCAAAACGACTAAAAACAGATTTCGCAATAAGGTGTGAAATTAATTTTCTGACCAATGAAAGGAGGCGATTTGCTAAACCAAAAAAAATGATAACGAGCCAGTGTGAAAAAAAAAGTCAACAATAAATAGAGAGTTTCAAGTCAGTCGCCAGTCAGCCAGTGAAAGGCGCAAAGATCACAGAAGATTGACAGTAAATTTCATCACTGACTCAACCCGACACTAAGAGCCGAAAGTGGATTAGGAAAGGACAACAACAACAATAAATTTACAACTGACTTCTAAGTACATTTTCCTCTTATCTTTTATTTCTCATCCACACTCTCTTTTTCAAATTCAATTGATCGCCCCTTTTTCCTTTACACCTATACGAAAACAAAAGAAACAGACATTACTCTGCTACTCTGTTAAAGACAGCGAACACAGACATTTTTGTCAAAATCGCATTTTGCTTAAACGAACTAAAGCATTAATCTTTTTTACCCTATTCACAAGATAATAAATATACAATGTTCTATTTTCTACAAACGTTCCTTATCGTGTTGTTTCTTCTTGAAATTGGCGTTGTATTTTGTGCGCAGGGTATCCCGTATTAAATTCTCCTTTTAATCCGGGTACGCTGAACCCTACAATGTCTACGGATATACGTGTGTCGCATTTACTGTCTTCTGTCAAAACGCTTCCCAGATATTTAAACTTCCGAGTCTGCTTGATTCTAAGGTTCCCGACATTCAAATCGCATTTCGGGCTCATCTGAAGGGAATCCCGTTTACAACGGCGATTGTCTGGTGGTTCGTTGTGTCCTCTCACTAGGAGTCCTTAAACTCTTTTGAGGAGCTCAGTAATTTGTTTTTCGCGTGATCTCAAAGCCGGTCGTTGAACGTCGAAGCTAAGGCGGAAGATCTCAAAACAAGAGACCACTTCGGAAAACTTAACAATAATTTATTAACGGGCAGTATTACACGAACTTGCGTCTTATAAACACTACCAAAAGTAAGTATTTTGAGGCCTTTTGTTTCGTTTCCGACAAATTATACCAATTTTTCATTTCATTTTCCTTTCAGTGTATGATTGCTCCGAAAATTCTGTTTTCCTTGTGTTTGTGTATCCATTCCGTCTATAGAATACGTGTTGTCTTTGAGCAACATGAATTTTCTTAGCACTTTGTTTCGAGATCTCCCCACACCCTTCCAAGTTTGACATTGATGTTATATCAAAATTTCCACTTTTGCTTATATTATCTCAACGGATCCATTGTAAAAAAGAAAAAAGAAAAAAAGAAAACAAAAAACACACACACACACACACACAAAACAAAAACACATTGCCCAAACCAGAAAACAAACAATTTCTCCAACTTTTTAATGAGAATCATCTTATGAGAATAGCATCGTAGTATTAACAATTTATTAATCTCGGAAATCCAAATAAATATTTTCCCTTATCATTGAAAGCCCACTGTGAGAAATTCCAAAATTAATAAGTTTTCACAAAATTCGTTCGGGGTTCAACTTCCTCTAGTTCTCCCATCAACTTTATTTTATATGTTTTACTTTAATTTTCCGTTTCTTTCCCCATTTTCCTCCTAATTATTTAAGTTATCCTACTGGAAGTTTTCTAATTTTTAATCGCCCCAAATCATCATTTTGCATTCTTCTGCAATTAAACGTCAAACCAGGGCCAACACCCGGTTATATTGTTGCATGTTCTTGAAGTTTATCTATCTTGGATCACATAAAAACCCACTCGCTACTGAAACTGCATCACTCAGTGGGATTGTGGCCCTCTTTATGCACCACATAAATAAAAAAAAATCGTTAGCTATGCGCCAAATTCCTAGTTCTTTTTTGAAAATTACATAAACTGATTATACTGTTTTTTTTTTTTCTTGCTTGAAACTGTTGCACATACATATTAATTTTTTTTAGAATATGGGACAAAGTAAAATATGTATTATCTTTCGCTGTACATGAATGACATCACTTAAACCTGTCAGCCTTTTTGTTTAATTTGTTTCCTTTTCCTTTTTCATAGGTAGCAACATGGCCATTCCACTTTCACCGATGCCAAAGTCTCAGTCGAAAGATGTCCAAATTCATGACACTAGCTACAAAGATTATTGGGGTTCTTTCAAATCAGGTGTGGAACTACCAAATCGGCGAAAGTTGCTTAGTTCCAATAACGAATCCAATAGTGAAAATGATAACAGCATTGGGGCCAAGATCCGTGAGTTTTATGCAGATGATAACAACATGGCACTCTTTTGTATCCTTCCGTTGCTTATTCTCATCTACGGCGGTTGTTCGGTCATTTATTGCATCCACAAATGTAAAAAGAACTTCAAAAAGAAAAAACAAGAACGCAAGCAAAAATCCAAATCCCAAGCGGCTCTCTCAAGTGACAATGTCTCACTCATTTCAGGAACAGAGAATATGTTGGTAAGGCCAAAGGACAAATCTCGGTTTTTGCCCTCGAATAACAATCGAGTGGGTCCGGCTCACCCATACGAATCTCCCAACAGTGGAAATGTAGCGCAAAAGCTGAAGTTGAATCCCAACAATCAAGTGAAAGACTTACTTACTGATTATGAATTCTTTGCATCTTGGGTTATGGCACAAAAAGCAGCTGACCTCCTCCAGTTGCAAGGTGAAAATGCTGACTCAACCTCGTCGTTGTCCCGTGATGAAAGCGTTTCAAGAAATTACGGAACGACAGTTGCAGGCCGTAAGAAAAAACTGGTATTCCTGTCTTGATATGTTTGCAGTATTTTATTAATGGAATTCAAGTATTCATCGATTCTACTTAATAACAAGAATTTATCAAATGTCATCTTTTTAAAGAGTCTCTTGCATGGACATAATGTTGTTGCAAGTCATAACAACGGATGTCAATGAAACTAGTAGCTTGTTTGTAAATCAATCAATATCTCCTTTCATCTTCAACAGTTTCTAGTGATTATGTGTGCGTACGATTAGTAATGATTTTCTATTTGTCACCTGCTATCGACCAAATGTTAAGATATTCCTGCAGATCATTACAAGTAATGTTCCTCAATGGATACCATATTGTTATCCTGTACATGAAGATAATCCTAAAAAACACCGACACATTATATATATAATAAAGATAATAAATCCGTTGGTATATAATCCAAGTAATATAAAATGTTGAACCTGATCTACAAAAAGTATCTATTATTACAGAGCAAAAATTTATACACAGTAAAATCCAAAATCACCTCATATGGGGTATAAGCTTATTTCGACTAATGAAAATATTCATCAGTCTTATTCAATCCTGGTATTGAATAAGATATTTTTGTCGGTTGAAATAAGCTTATTCCCCATGAGGTCATTTGGGATTTTACTCTGTGTGTGTGTGTGTGTGTGTGTGTGTGTAAAAATACTGATTTTCTGTTTACCATAATTTTCCATAAAATGGATATAACTTGCATTATTTATTAACAATTACATTTAATTCAGTGTTTGGTTGAAAGAAGCAGGGTTAGCTGTTGAAAATGTGAACAAATTTGGACCATTGGTTTTGTGAAAAATATATAATTAGAAAAAATCATGACATACATTACTGTTAAACTAATAATCCAAAATTTCGTTTTGGTATGTAGTTCTATATGAAAATTGAAATCTTGTGAAATATACCTGTTGTCAATAAGAAAAATAATTTATTCATTGAGAACTTCTTTAATGAATGGTTTTAATTAAATTTTCAGACTGTGCAATTGTTTTTTTTTTTTTAAATATTTGCCAATTGGCAGGAATTAATTTATTTGAATGTTATTTTGTGGAGGAAAAAGTAGGAAATTTAAAAATTGTAAAGTAATAGATAAAATTAATTTCAAACTAGGATATGTTTCAATTTTGATTATAGGTTTAGGTACTTATTTAATAAAGCATTTTCATATTCCAGCACCTATTTAAGCCAAAAAAGATTATTAATAGCTTCTATCTCAAGTGGGCCATGGAAAAGCCCACCCAAAGCAAGACAGTCTAAGCCAATCAGGGGGATGTATACCAAAATAGAACACGTATGAAAACTTCATGCTTTAAAGCAATGTTAAATGATTTTATCTTGTAAAGTTCAAATTTCTAAGCTTTTTGGTTTCTTACAAAACAAAATAACCATTTGATAACAACAAAAGAACAAAGATGGATTAAAAAAAAAAAATCTTGCTTGCTATTAGTTAGCCTTGATGATATATGTTAGCTTTCAAATTATTGAGCATAACCTTTTTTTTTTTTAAAAAAATAACTGATGTCCTTACCACAGTTTGTACCACGTTATATTTTTCTTCTGAGCAAAAAAAAAAAAAAAGAAAGAAAAGAAAAAGAAAAAAGGCATTATTTTAAAATATGGCCTCACTTATTTCCACTTTTGTTAATTTGTTGATCAGTGTTTATTTAAACAGATTTACAATTTTCAAAGTAATTTTTATTCATCAATTTCCTTTGGTGAAATATTTATGATTTTAATTTATTTTTCACTAAAAACTTTCATAATGCAATTTTTTTCTTAACCAAAAATTGAGTAAATGTTTCAATAAAAAATAGATGTTAAAACATTATGGAGTAAGTTTACATTAGTTTATTTTTTGTTGTTTAGTCCATAAAACATTTTGATCACTAAAAGAAAATCAATTGTTAATTTTTATCGAGCTGATATGAAATTATGCTAGATTCTGGTTAACGACAGTAATTTACTGAAGAAAAATTCTTTGCTCTATTGATTAACTATTCATAAGGAACAGAAGAAATGTTCAAATTAATATGTCTTAAAATAGAAAAGATTACAAATACATAAAATGAAAACTAATGCTCTAAGTAAGAGCATTTGTTGGTTTTTTAAACCATGAAAACAAGTTGAGTTCATAAAATATTATTTCCTGGAATTTGTTCTTTTACAATGTATTAATGTAAGTAAAGTCTTCCTTTGTGACTTCAAATGAGTTGAAGTGCATTTATATAGATTTAAATAGATCGATTGGTTTATATACGAATAACCATAATAGACACTTTGGGAAGTATAGTTAGTTTGAAGACAAATCCTCAACATTTATGTCATTATGCACTTTGGCAAGACAAGACTATTATAACTATTTGCATGTAATGTTATTCTAGTATTTTTGTTGCTGGAATGCAAACAATGACAGAGTAAAGAATAAAACTACGTCGGAAGTTATTCTACCATAATTACCTTCTGAGGCAATATCAGGAAGGTAGCTATTATATCCTTTGTCAAGTTACATATGTTAGTTAGTTTTTTTTTAATGCTTTCGCAATAAAATTAGTATTAAGTAAATAATTTTAAGATTTTCGACCTATTCTATAAACCAAAATTTCCAATGGCATGTCAATTAAACTGTTATAATTTGTAAACGACAAGTTGCGTTCAACAAGTTGTAGGTAGAACTTTTTCATTGAATATTGAAGTTCGCATTCTTCTCTGCAATTTAATATTGAGAGGGAGATAGAATTAAGAATATAGGGAACAATCTAAGTTTATTACATCAATGTACCATAAGCACACATTTTCAGATTTAAATACTCAATAGGACTCGTTTTGTTTGAGAAGGTATAAGCTCAATTTGGTCAAAACCTTAATCTATTAGGCCCTAAGGATCTGTTCTAAGTTAAAAAAAAAAAATTTATTAGTTATTTTGTGATTTTTAGACATTGTGCAATCTAGTGTTAATGAAGATTCAATTTTGTAGGTCCGAATGTTTTCACCCTGAAAAATGTCCTGTGTTTGAGACTGTGTTTGGGTTTTGCTAAACAAATCTCATCCAGTATTTCATATTTTTCTGTTAACCAACACGTGATGTTCTTGTCTAGGCTGATGGCAAAATCTGTTTCAAAGGACTGATTGCCAACCTTCAAAACTAATTCAATTATTTATTTTTTAATATCAGTGTGGCACTGAACAACTCAACTTTGGTGAGAAATTCACAGTATTCATCGTGAGGTCAGCTAAGTAATAATTTGCATGTCTGTTGTGTTTGGGTCTGCAATTGTGGATCACCTGGTAATCATCAGTGTGCTGCGGTGTACCAGAACATATTCCCAGCATTATGCAAATCACTCCCAATGTCATCTTAAAAGTGCTTGAAACAATTTTTGTTAAGTCTTAGCAAAACAAAAGTAATGGCTGCTTCATCTTAATGTGATCTGTATCTATAGTTGTTAATACATTATGAACATGTCTTTTGGTTTCTTTTAAATCAGTGTGTACACTTATCAATCAAATTTTGATAAGAAAGGATTGAAACAGATTAACTCTCTCAATTTTTTTTATTTTATATATGCCTACTTTTCAGTTTCATATTTTAAATAGACCCATTTTCTAAATCACCATCAAATTCTGTACAACAAACAAAATTTTTAAGTATTTACAATATGATGACTAATGCGTATATATATATATATATATATATATATATATATATATATATATATATATATATACACACACACACACACACACACACACTTCAGTCCCTGGTTGACACTTTAAGCATAAACAATGAAATAACCCCACTCCAATAAAATTTGACTTTATAACTGCATGCACACATGCATTTATGCAAGAGTCTGCATATGTACATATACTAACCATTTAAAAAAAAAAAAAAATCATCACATGGAAATGTCTAAATATTCTTAATGTGGACATTTTAATGATTGTTTCTTTTTATTTTTTTATTTTAGATATTTTGCAAATATAACCATTCAATAACTTGTAAAGTTTGGAAACTTTACATTGTTTTATCCATTGACTTTTTGCCCCAAATCAGTAAACCGTCCATTACGCACTAATATACACAAACACAGAAATGCGTGAGTCTGTGTATATAATTGATATATAAATATATATAAAATTCAAATTATATATGTATTCATGTATGTATATACAATAATTGTTTATGTGAGCATTTCTGTAAACACCTGGAATGAATGTTTTTATTTTGCTCATTTACGGAAGTGTCAGGATGAGATTAGTATCACTTATAAGCGTGTATTTATATATCAGAACCTTTTCCTTATATATATATATATATATATATATATATATAAACCTTGTGCAAATGAATAAAAATTGCAGCAGAATAGAGAAAAATAAAACCAAATTAATAATATTGTAATTGTGAGAACAGATTCGCAAAATTCAGTGTCCACATACCAGAATTATTTAAGCTAGCCGAGTTGAAATAAATATTGAAACTTGCTTGGAAGACAAAGTAGAATCAATGAAGAGGATATTTTTGTAAGGCATTTTAAAAAGATATTTCATTGGTTTCCAATGACTTTTGGGTGTAAAGAAGTTGTAAAGGCATCAAAAATGGAAGATAAGGAAAGCAGAAACTCAAAGTAGCAGAAATGAACTTAAATTGTGACATTTTATTACTAATAAAAAAAGGGCTGAATATAGTTGTCTTAGTTTAAAATCTATATAAAGAATAACCTTATTTAAAAGGAACCAGAGACTGAATACTAGCAGCTACAACTCAGTGATATGTTTTAAAAAAGAAAAATACATTTCATTTGTATTTGATATTTAATTTTCATATACATCTCTGTAATAATTTACAGCTACTTATTTAAAAAAATACTTTCCTTTACCTTTTCACAGGCTTATCTTAGTTGGTTTAGTGAATTGTCTGTGCAAAAAAAAAAAAAAAAAAAAAAAAAAAATATCCTGATTTATTTTTATTACAATGCACTCAACAAAAATATTCTAT